ACACATACACACACACACATACACACACACACATACACACACACACACACATACACACACACATATACAGTTGTGTGAAAAAGTGTTTGCCCCCTTCCTGATTTCTTATTTTTTTTGCATGTTTGTCACACTTAAATGTTTCAGATCATCAAACAAATTTAAATATTAGACAAAGATAACACAAGTGAACACAAAATGCAGTTTTTAAGTGAAGGTTTTTATTATTAAGGGGGAAAAAAATCCAAACATACATGGCCCTGTGTGACAAATTGATTGCCCCCTAAACCTAATAACTGGTTGGGCCACCCTTAGCAGCAACAACTGCAATCAAGCGTTTGCGATAACTGGCAATGAGTCTTTTACAGCGCTGTAGAGGAATTTTGGCCCACTCATCTTTGCAGAATTGTTGTAATTCAGCCACATTGGAGGGTTTTCGAGCATGAACCGCCTTTTTAAGGTCATGCCACAGCATCTCAATCGGATTCAGGTCGGGACATTGACTAGGACACTCCAAAGTCTTCATTTTGTTTTTCTTAAGCCATTCAGAGGTGGACTTGCTGGTGTGTTTTGGATCATTGTCCTGCTGCAGAACCCAAGTGCGCGTCAGCTTGAGGTCACGAACAGATGGCCGGACATTCTCCTTCAGGATTTTTTGGTAGACAGCAGAATTCATGGTTCCATTTACCACAGCAAGTCTTCCAGGTCCTGAAGCAGCAAAACAGCCCCAGACCATCACACTACCACCACGATATTTTACTGTTGGTATGATGTTCCTTTTCTGAAATGCCATGTTACTTTTACGCCAGATGTAATGGGACATACACCTTCCAAAAAGTTCAACTTTTGTCTCCTCAGTCCACAGAGTATTTTCCCAAAAGTCTTGGGGATCATCAAGATGTTTTCTGGCAAAACTGAGACGAGCCTTTATGTTCTTTTTGCTCAGCAGTGGTTTTCGTCTTGGAACTCTGCCATGCAGGCCATTTTTGCCCAGTCTCTTTCTTATGGTGGAGTCATGAACACTGACCTTAATTGAGGCAAGTGAGGCCTGAAGTTCTTTGGATGTTGTTCTGGGGTCTTTTGTGACCTCTTGGATGAATCGTCGCTGCGCTCTTGGGGTAGTTTTGGTCGGCCAGCCACTCCTGGGAAGGTTCACTACTGTTCCATGTTTTCGCCATTTGTGGATAATGGCTCTCACTGTGGTTCGCTGGAGTCCCAAAGCTTTAGAAATGGCTTTGTAACCTTTTCCAGACTGATAGATCTCAATTACTTTGTTTCTCATTTGTTCCTGAATTTCTTTGGATCGCAGCATGATGTCTAGCTTTTGAGGATCTTTTGGTCTACCTCACTTTGTCAGGCAGGTCCTATTTAAGTGATTTCTTGATTGAGAACAGGTGTGGCAGTAATCAGGCCTGGGTGTGGCTAGAGAAATTGAAGTCAGCTTTCCAAAGATGTGATAAACCACAGTTAATTTATGTTTTAACAGGGGGGGGCAATCACTTTTTGACACAGGGCCATGTAGGTTTGGATTTTTTTCCCCCCTTAATAATAAAAACCTTCACTTAAAAACTGCATTTTGTGTTTACTTGTTGTCTTTGTCTAATATTTAAATTTGTTTGATGATCTGAAACATTTAAGTGTGACAAACATGCAAACAAATAAGAAATCAGGAAGGGGGCAAACACTTTTTCACACAACTGTATATATACACACACATGTTCTCTAGATGACTACTTCAGAAGGAGGAGGGTTCTGTGATTGTGGAGATGCTGAAGCCTGGAAGAAAGGTTCTTACTGCCAGAAACACAAACCTAACAACAAAGACTCTGAGGAGGTGAGACAGTCTGTCTACCTGTCTCTGTTCGTCTGTCAGTATAACGTGTCCCGTCTGTCTCTCTACCCGTCCGACTGTCAGTATAATGTGTCCCGTCTGTCTCTCTACCCGTATGTCCGTCTGTATAACGTGTCCCGTCTGTCTCTCTACCCGTATGTCCGTCTGTATAACGTGTCCCGTCTGTCTCTCTACCCGTCCGTCTGTCAGTATAACGTGTCCCGTGTGTCTCTCTACCCGTCCGTCTGTCAGTATAACGTGTCCCGTCTGTCTCTCTACCCGTCCGTCTGTCAGTATAACATGTCCCGTCTGTCTCTCTACCCGTCCGTCTGTCAGTATAACGTGTCCCGTCTGTCTCTACAGGATCCTGTATCTGTGCTTCCTGCTGACATGGTCGCTCGTAGTTTCAGCATCTTCTCGATCCTCCTGAAGTACGCTGTGGACATGCTGACCTGGGACCAGGAGGACCAGCTACCTTCAGGACTGGAGCCACCGTACGTACGCACACGCGCACACACACGCATAGACAGACATACACACACACACACACACACACACAATGTGGCTGTAATAATCTGAGCAGCCTGTAGGATGCGCTAACGGCTCTCTACACTGTTAATCATACTGTTATAATGATACTTCGTGTGTATGTGTGTGTGTGTGTGTAGGCACAGAGAAGACACCTACTACTGCATGTTGTTTAATGATGAAGTCCACACCTATGAACAGGTGATCTACACGCTGCAGAAAGCCGTGAACTGCAGCCAGAAAGAAGCAGTCCGCTTCGCCACCACCGTGGACCGAGACGTCAGTACTCACCTCATATACAGTATATGTACACCAGTGGCAGGCCGTGCATGTTATACCTGGGCCTTCACTGCTGTCCCGCAGCTGGAACACAGCTACGGTTATTATTAGTTTCGTGTCAAAATGAAGCCAACACCTACAGAGAGAGTGCGTCTCCTCTCTGCTCTGACTGCAGCTGTGCCTGTGAGTGCTTTGGAGCGGCGGAGGGGCTCACGGCAGCTCCCGCTGCTCGTTCACCACAGAGCAGAACGTACTTTAACATCAGAAAAGTCTCCAACACCAGAACAAGTCTCTAGATTTGTCACTAATAGCTTTTGAGAAAAAAAGTCTCCATAAGGGTTTGGAAAGTCGCCAGATTTAGCGAGAAAGTTGGCAACACTGGCACCGACTAAATGTGTCCCCAGAACAACACTGGACGTAACAATAGTTCCTATCACATATAAAACCAAACAATCCATCTTCATAAAAACAAGTTGTACAAATAATATCAACAAGCATATTAAAGCTACTGCAGATGTAAAAACGCATTTAACACATTTAACTTACCAGAGCTGCTGTTCACTATTTAAAGACAAAGTGCATCCTCCTTTCTTTGTCAACAAAGAGTTTAATCTCACGGTTGTTCAGTACATCCGTGTGTTTTAGTTCCAGTAAGAAGTCCTTCTCCATTCATGGACGCCAGTGAAGACAGTGGAGCCTCCCCAGTTGTATTTCCTGAATACGTTTTAATGCGTTTGAGGCTGAAAATGTCCACTCGACAGGCAGCAGATATTGGGATTGTCACCGCCCAACATGTCACGCTAACCAAGACGGCATGGTGGGTGAAGAAACAAGGTTTTATTTAGTTGTTCGTGAAGCCGGTGGAACATGCAGGTAGGAAGGTGAGGCGGTGTGTGTAGGGCACAGGAATCTTGAGGCACAAGGAGAACACAAGTTAGTTGCAAATCTAGCGAAACAAAGTTAACCAACTCTAAGAAGAGAGCGTAAACTCAGAGGGGCCGAGGTTGTAGCTACCACTGAGCTGACAAAACAATCTGGCGATGAGAATGAAGGAAGCCGGGGTATTTGAGCTGCCTGTGATGACGGTCTGATGAGCCCAGGTGCCGGATGATGGAAACCGCGCCCATGCCACACACACACACACACACACACACACACACACACACACACACACAC